AACACTGATGATGATGTTGATGTTCATCTCCCAGTTCGGGATAATTATTTTACTCTAACCCAAAATCTCCTCCAACACCACCACCTACTTTCATTACTACCTCTTACCCCTTGCAGTCTCACCAGCTTGCCCCTCCCACCCCCTACCCTCGCCCAACTCCTCCTTTGCTTTGCGTAATAACAAGTATATTCGACGATTGACCTCTCTTCGCCTTTCGGGCCTTAGCGCTCAACTTCCGTAGCAAGCCTCGAGTGACCATATAATATTGTTATTTCTTCTTTGCCCCCCCCCCTCCCCTTTTTTTCCTCTGCCCATCCATAACTTATTCAACACTTCCCAGCTGTGAGCTAGCAGTTCAAGAATAAAGTCATAACCTAATGACTATAGGCCAACCAGTTATTTAAAATTAACTTTGGTAACTTTTACAAGCCTTGATATTTCTCGATGGATAAAATTATAAAATTTTCTTGGAAATTCTACAAGTCTCAACCCTTTTTTTATTCTCTGCTGTTTCCAATGATGATGATGATGATGATGATGGTGATGGTGATGATGATGATGATGATGATGATGATGATGATGAGCATTATTTTGAGCACTTAATTGTTGCAATTCTGTTTGCTCATGGATATGTGTAACCATTTAATAATACTTGTATTTAAAACAGCTCTCTCATAAAACCTCTGTTCCAAAAACTAGACGTCTAGCTGTGGGCAAGGCGGGAAGAGAAGTTCACTTGTTGTATGGTCGCTTTTAGGCACAAGGCGGCTATCCCGAAAAATACTGTTTTGATAAAATCGAAGGTAAAGTTTTTACTCCTTGTTCGGTTTCTTTAAAAGACATCTAGAGTTTTCTCTATAACCAAACAAATATACACACCAATGAAACCAAACTTCTCCTATAGGTAGGACAATGCCCAATTTTGGTGTAGGTCAAGGTTTCTGGAAATCCCCGAAATCTGGGTTAGCCCGCTTGTCCTGAAAAGCGACCATATTAGGTCTACAGGGTATAGAACTTCTGTCATCGTAAAAGCTGTGTAAAAACTATTAATTCTTATTATGAATTGATAATGTCTATAATTGATTTGTTGCATAAGCAAGTTTTTAATTAGATCTATATCCTCTGAGCGATGATATATTTATGAAATGACAAGACTGTCTAACAGTAGGATTATCATCGTAATATGAACCAATCTAAATGATGGTATTTTAGTATACTTTTTCTAGACGAAAATTTGATCTGGACGCCTTAGTGTGTGCGTCGGGATCAATTTTGAGAGGGTTTTTATTTTAATACAATGTTTACTTGTGAATATTATATTCATCCATTTGATAATACATGTATTTGAAACTGCTTTTCTCACAAAAACTGTTCATTGCTCTAAAGGCGAGACACATTTAAATCTGGGCAATATGGGAAAGTTTAACTTGTTATGTTATATAGACCAGATAGAGCTGCAGCAGTCATCATAAAAGCTGTGTGAAAACTATTAATTAATTATGAATTCATCATATCTATTACTGTTTTGTTGCATATGCAATTTTTTCATCATATTCTCTGAGAGGAGATATATGAAATGACAAGACTGTCTGACGTTAGGATTACTATCTTTTTATACGAACAAATCTAAGTTTTTGTATTTCAATATTCTACTTTCCTACGAAATCAGATTTGGGCGCCTTAATTTGTGTATCTTGATAAGTTCTTGGGAGTTTCTTTTTAATACATGTTTATTGTTTTTGTCATCCATCCCTCCCTGGCAATTCATTATTAGGATACCATCATGGACTTGCGCGTATTCTAGGATTATACGGGCATTGTGGAACTTGAAATTGTCACACGAATTGGATAAATATGAAACATCGGAAGAGGGAGTGTTTGCGTGTGTATGTGTGTGTGCGTTTGTTTGTTTGTTTGTTGTGTGTGAGTGTGTGTGTGTGTGTGTGTGTGTGGTTTATTCAGTGTTTTTTTGTAGTTTTGTTTTAGTTTGTTTTTTGTTGTTTTGGGGTTTTTTTGGGTGGGGGGTGTTTTTCTTTATTTTAGGGAAGTGTGTAAAAGTAAACTTAGGCCCTCCATTCAGAACTTACCTGCCTTCTCTGCACAATCAGGGTCTCTACTCTCCAGAGGGCCACGGCTGGGTCGCAGCGATGACACTTATTATAATTATTTAAAGAAAGTGGGAGGGGTGTCAAAAATCACACCCACCTTTTTTTTGTATGTCAGACGAGTTCATGCGTTTTTAGTTAAAACTTTGCATTAGATCATCTCACTGTACAATAAATTCCCTTCCTGTATTCATTTCTAAATGGTTGAAGTACGCCTCAACAGAAGTAACAATTATACGTATATCCGCCGACTAGAGTGGACCACTCATAAGGCTCCCGTTGGCTTTGATAATGCAAAACGATCGGAAAGGTGAAACAATAGGGCCATTTTTTGATCGGCAGAGCACCAACCTTCTACGCATCATCGCCTTCCACTTTGGCGTTTCCGGCGGCATGGATTAATATTTGATGTACTAATGTGAAACAAAGAGAGGGATAACACGCTTGTTTTGTCCCCATCCAAGGACGGGCCGAGCGTGAACCTGCTAAAGAATGAACCCGGATCATATGGATTATTGAGTTCTGTTTAAGTGACTGTACGGAACTGTTACTCACTTTGCTGCCCGATTTATATTCATTTATTCGAAAGCCTTAGCTTTTTGTTTCACACAGGCCGCTGCCATTGCTCTTGTGTCGATAAGGGTTACATTTCTAACCCATCCTCTTCCACTTATTCAACTCCTAGTCATACAAGATTTTCGCAACTTTGCTTTTCCTAATTCGACTTAAATTCGCATATGCTATACATGTAATCAATTCTTATTTGTGCAGAGCTTTTTTGGAATGACTATGAGACTTTCTACTCTCTACCTTATTCTTTCAAGTTTTTTTCTACTTGTGTAACTTAAAAGTTGTTTCAGTAGCTTGTCTTCTCAAAACTGTATAATGCGAAATGTACTCATCGAAAAGGGACTTTTTACCAGTATGTTATTCTAGATATGTCTTACTTCATTTACATGTATATGTTCTGATCCGCTCCCGATATATCATGAAGTACCAGCATCCGAGAAAGAAAACAGAATAAGGTTAACCACCCATGTTCTTATTTTTCCTTCTCTTTGATCCCATCTCTTTATGCAGTGTATGTAAGGACAAATACACGGGTGAGCAAAAGGTACACCATGCGAGCAATCGGGACACAACTAGTAGATAGTTTCAAAGAGAATGCCATGGTGAACTGGAAATTATAGGTAAAACAATGTGCTATAGATGTAGCTGTGGTTGACGTGGCACTTTGCATGCAAGTTAAATTGAGGGCTTTCAGGTACAGTCTGTTCATATCTGGCACTGAAAAAACAACGTCGAATTATCAAGAATCTTCCGAAAGACACTGTGCTTTGGTCTTTACTTGGGGGGAGATAGGTGGACACACAAGCTCGATTTAAACGTATCACTTATGTGTAGTGACTATTCAAATTAATAAGTTTGCCACATATGATGGCAAGCCAGACAAGTAGTTCTATTGTTTTGGCAGAATATTTCGCCTTCTGATAATCAGTGAGCTCAGTAGAAATGGCGCTGACTACAATAAAGACGACAGCGGTTCGAATCCTTACTTAAATTCAATTTTCTCGATTACACAGAAATAAACTACCGCCACTGCGCTGATATGGTCATAAAAACGTATGTCAAATGGTACAATCACGTGACGGAAGCAGGGTTCTGCTTTTCTCCTGCCATGTCGAAGCCTGGTCATTTTGCATCCAACCTACTGCCATTTTTCCAAGCGGACATATCTCTATCATCCAACTATATAGGACTATGTGTGTGAGCGTGCGAATGTGGTTTGTGCACAAATACGTGGTTATGCAAGTGTGCGTGTGAAGTACTTTCCAAATATTTCTCCACAATAGACTATTTTCTTCGCATGTCACTTCTATTCAGTCAGTCGGTCTGTCTGTCTGTTTGTTTGTTTGCTGTTCTCTCTGTGTGACGGAAACCTTCGACTCGCTTGGTTTTCAGATGCCAGCCAACTGCACAGAGAGCGGCCCAAAGGCCCAGCACCCAACCTGACGGTCAGCGTGTGCGGCGCCGCTGACATGCATGGATGTTGTACGTAACCCTCATGCCCAAAACCGGCACAGAGTTAGGGAAAGGACAGATGGTGCAATGAGCTTTTGTCTTCTTGTGCTGATTTCGATTTTGTTTGTCTTCCCTTTTGTTGTTTTTTACGGGTTATTTGTTTTCTTTTTTGGTTTCGCTTCCTTTTCTATTTTGGACGTAGGGGGGAGAGGCAGTATTGTTTGTTTGTTTGTGTTTTGGGGATCGTACTTTGGAAAAGTACTGGGGGGGGGGGGCAGTAAGGGGGTCAGCGGTAGAATTTGTGGCTTTTGTCTGTAACAGCTTGATATATTTGGCTATTATTTATAACCTACGCTGAAAAATACGATAGGCTCAAATCCTGTAAGAAATTCTAAAAGGACGTCCTGTAGTTTCCGCTTTATTCAGAAAGCACAATCAGTATACAAAGGAAACATCACGCAGATTTTTTCTGAGTATGTACGTTTTTTCGATAGCTTTCACCTGATAACTTTAATCAATTTTATATAGTTAGCAAATCGCTTGTTATTTAGCACGCATACTAACAGCGTCAGTCTCTATCTTGTCTTGAATGGATTGTGAAGTATAATCATTAAACCAAACCATACAAGAAACGAGAGATGTTGTCATCCCTTCAAGCGTCAAGTTTTATTACTTGTTTTTGGTTGAATCAAAAAGGGAAAACGTTCAAACTTTCTCCCTTTTTCGTAGAGCTGAAAGTACATGACCTTCTGTCTGTATACTGTTCACTTTTGGTGTCGAAAGGCTGAATACCTTTTCAAAGTAATTGTAAATCTATCTCTTATCACTTTTTTAATTGAAAAAAATACAATGAAAGGAAATGACTGTTTGCAATGGATAATAATTCAAAGTGGGAAAAGCTGTTATCAACACGAATAGAATATATAAAACTGGGGCACTTGTCACCTTAGCACTGCTGAAGTCGTTCATGGATACAAAGGGTCCTTGAATGACGTCACTGCACCTTCCATCCACTCTTCCATTTCTCTGACGCCAAACGTTATTAGGACAGTAAGCCAGGGAGCAGGAAACAGCTTACCCACAGTGCCGGAGACAGGGATAAATATTGTAGTAGCTCGGTAATGAGAAAAGGGGAGATGGGCTAGACCACAGGTTTTTGGGACCAATGGTTGGACCTTAAATGTGGGTCCCACAGAGGCCCCGGGGAGTTGTGGAATAGTTTCATCCAAACTGATTAGATAAAACAAAATGAAGGGAGCCACAAATGTCTGTGTTTTCAGAGCTTGTGGTCACTAGGCCAAACAATTATCTGCTCAGGGTCGCTCCAAAACATTTTGGGTGGACTCTAAGGGTAGACAAGAGTGAGATATTCCTCAAAGTTCAAGAGTTGCAAGTATATCGGTCAAAAAGTATTTATTGAAAGTACCAATTAATACCCAAGGGAAGTAATCGGGGGTAATTATACTTCACGGGTCATCCGTAAGGAAGACTTCTGCATGATTCTTAAATGTGTTTCTTTTTTACGTAAAGGAAAATATTAAACATGTCCAGAAAGGCCAGCCTTATTTGAATAAAGAAAAATGAAAGCAAACAGGGAAATGAGGCAAAGTAAGTGTTCTGAAAAAGGTTAAAGAATGACACCAAATAGCCTCCATCTTCTTAGCTCCTGATTTGTCGGGTCACTGTATAAAACAATATGATCTGTCGTCTGCTAATTATTTCACAAAATAATTATTTCAGATGTCATCTGGTTGTTGATAATCGTTTCTGGCTCGGCATTTTGAAATTACTGTAGCCAATTGCATGTAGCTATGGCATTCGGTTTATTTGCTAGCTCAAATTGCCTGTTGGTAATAGTTGCTTATAAGATCAACTTTGTCAATCATGGGGGGGGGTTGTCATCTGAATTTCACTAAATCTGGATTGATTCGATTTTTTTCTCCTAAAACATTTTACATAAATGTTGGACAGACTGATCTGGTTAACAAAAGTGAATGGAATAACGCATTTTAGCTGGAAAAACAGTGGACGCTATCAAGTCTCTGAAAGAAATATGCATTGGACATTCTGAATTAATCTTCACGTGTGATTTTTGTTGCTTGTTCTAGACTAGAGGTTTGGTCAGTTTCGTCGTTTTTGTTGTACCTTCCTTTTCCCGTTCTCACAACAATGTGGACCTCTTGACACCTTTTTATGGTTGTTTTATTTGCTGTTAATATTTTATATATTTAAATAGTACTTCACTGCATATTGCTGCAGGTCATAAAGATAATCCAAAGGTATGTCCAAGCATTGTTGCTAGCACCAAAGTAGAGAAGAATTTTATCTCGACTCCAAACGTGTGGAAATGTTGCAAACAGTCTCTGATTTATCGGAAATTATAACGGTCTTTGCGGTTCAACGGAAATATTCACACAAGTTACTTCATTTAGTTTTCAAAAGCCTATTTATGAAACTAATCTAAACTCAAATTTCTCTAAAACAGAGATAAAAGTACATGGCCAACACAGAAGCTAGTTATGTTCGGAATCTTATATTTCCAACACTTTGACATTTTATTCTTCTCTCGCGAGAAGTGGGTACATTGTATAACGCTGTCTTCCAAAAGACATTGGGAATGTTACAACAAGACGTGGGTTGAGAGATTTAATAAACCCCATCTGCGTCCAGTGCGCAACCATACGCCCGACTCAATCTTTCTTACAAACTAAATCCAATAAGGGAAATTCCCAAAAGCTTCATAAACATTAGGGAATTACCAGTTAGACCTCAATGATTCCTTGAGCACCGTTCGGACACCGGCTGCTAATGAAATAATCGAATTCTGTAACGGCATGAAACGTTGCACGGCTAGTTTGTTCTCTTTCACCACAAAAAAAGTAGCTTGCGTTTAGAAATCCACAATGAACGCTTCGCTCAAAGACACCCCATGAGGATAATGCGACAAAGAAAGAACGTTTTGACATGACAAGCAATATATAAGAGTGCATATATTCATTTGTACTCTGTGCGGGGTTTTTTATCTGGAAAATGAGATCGTTTTTCACGGTTGTCTCGTTCGTGTCGTAGCAGGAGCAAGGGTGACCTGAATGAGGATGTCACTAGACAAGGAGAATTTGGGGGCAAACGTTTTTCCAATATTCAAAGCAAACGAAATAGAACATGGATTGATATATTATTTGAATCACTGAACAGGTAAAGTGATGCGAATATCAAACACAGGAAATATACTCGTGACAGTATATTTTGATCCGGACGTTCAAAACAAATCAGGATTCCAAATTAAATTTAATTAAATTGGGGACATGTGCTCATTTTGACAACACTTTTGACTAAGGGCTCATATTTTTACCAATTTAGCTTTTTCTGGGAAGCACTGTGAAAGAGATAGTCAATAAGAACAAAATACACTATAAAACTAATATTATGTTCATCAAAAGCACTGGTTATTTTTTGTGGCTAGTTGCACCATCTTCGCAAAAAAAAGCTCTTTCTTGGGAGCTTACACAATTTATGTTGCCCGCGATTCGTTGATGATATTATTTTCATTTTGTTTGTTTTTTGCTTTGATCGAAAACATTACACTATAGGTATTCTTTTTTTTTCAATCTGGGTAGTAAAGTTTTGGTTCGAGTATGCATGGCTGTGGAGCACTGGGGCATTGTGTTTGGAGTTTGTGGATGATTAATTATTGTCATTTGCAATTAATACAGTTACTTCGGTATTAGATATCATTCTTTTCAATTGTTTTTTTTAAATAAATACAGCTCATTGTGGTGTCTGTCCTCCTCCGTATTTATTTATTGTTATTAGTTGTAATTATTATAATTATGTTTCTATTTAGCATACTAAATTTTGGTTTGTTTTAGTATGGGTCTTTTGAAAAAGTGGTAGACGGAAATGAATATGTTTTATTTTACGGTCTGATCCGAATAAAAGGGCAAGAATTGATAGTTTTGTGCAACGACAAGTTTTACTTTTTTTATTATTTTTTTTTTAATACACGACATGTGTGTAAAATCAAATCAACATGAAACGAGGAAGGTGGTTCTGAGTGACGCCGAAGGGAATAAAGCGAAATTAAAACAACGTTTATTCGGGGAGCCATCGTTTTATATTGAATGCTCTTTTGTCGTTTGTCTCATCCGTGGTTGCCTTCTTGGGCATCATCAACCACCCATATTATTTTTTTCCTCTGTTCGTGTGGTCATCAACATTTTAAAAAAACATTTTATAACAGTTGTGTAAGTTGTCTTTGAAGCTCATGTAGTTGTCAGTATTGCTATAAGGGATTATTCGTATTTTTCACATTCTTCATATTGTTTCTGCTTGCGTCTGTGGTGTAGATGTTCGGTGCTTCGTTGTAACACGCAGGAGAACCGAGTTCGATTCACAAGTGGGGTTTTTATAAAGTATCTTAGTTTTTACGCTGGGATGTTGTATTCCTCTCTGCACGAGTTATCCTCAACAGGAAGGGTCGGAAGCCTGCCTCCTAAACGGTCTAATTTTTTCGTCGATGGTGGTATTAAAACACATATGTTTATTTTTTTTCTGTGAATATATAATGTTTCTTCTCAAATTACTATCGTAAACCCAGTTTCATTTTCTGATGATGTTTCGTGTTCTTTTGTTTCAGTGATCTCTATCACTGGCAAAAGGTACGTAAATCTCGGAGAGCGGATACACCTTGTGTGCAACGCGTCCGGGGGAGTCCGGATACCTGACGAGATCGACTGGTTCAAGGCCGGGGACAAGATTGATTCGGTCAAGTACAGGTTAGTGTTGGTGATATCAAAGATTATGTTTTACAAAATGATTCACTCTTCTCTTTGAACCAATTTAAAAAGTGTCCTCAAACCGCTTTGCGAACTGAGTTACCCTACTTGTGTGGAAAAAAAATCAAAGTAAGTAAAATTTCGGAATAACGCCTTTTTAAATGGTTACGCTGACTAAAATTCTCTTCAGGTGGAAGGGGCGACTGTTTTCTTCGTTTAATTTGGCTTTAGAACGAGAGTCGAGAGGTCCTTAAAAAAATAAACCCAAAACTCCGTACTGAGAGAACCGGAACAGCTGATGCACAAGGGGGTGCTATTCCTATTCTTCTTCTGGAGAAACGAAAGAGAGCTTCAAAACAAAGACTGCAGCGACATCTGAACCAATGCACGGACTTCTGCCGACACTTTTTTGGCCGAGTGAACTATCTTGTTATATACAATCTTTGGCATTATATTGTATATGACTGACGCTGCGTATGGCATTGATGACGTTTTAGCTGAGCGCTGGTCAATCTTCACAGCTTCATCAAATTTCCTTCGGTGAACCCTAATTCTACGTCATTTCATTTGTACTTCTTTTTTGTGCTTCAAAACATAGCAAAGTGAGGCTACGACAGTTAATTTGTTGCCCCACATACGTTCGTATTATGAACCCTCACTACTTAGCTGGTGAAGCTTACGAAAACATCCAGGACGTATCTTTGATTTTTTTCTCGTGTTGTTTGCGTTCGTTCTTCGTATACTTTTTTTTATAAGTATATGGGATTATATGTGTATAATTTACCGGTATGTATAAAGTGTCTTGTCAATCTTCTTGCTATATTCGTCCATACTCTTTTCACAATCATATCGAGTACATAGATTATTACAAAGCTGGTTGTTCAACTTCTCGCACCCTCTAACTAAACGAAGCCTCAAAAAAGATACAGAATTAAATATCAGACCTCTTTGAAGTTCAAAAATATATTTGATAATTCCACACTGAGTCTCACTGAAGTAAAAACCTAAATCTCAATAGCTTCTAATCTGTTGACTGTCTTTATATCAAATATTTATCTTAGTTGGAGATCCATATGTTCTCTCTTTGAACTGTTCTTGTAGAAGTGTTTTTGCTTGTTTGTTTTTTAAGGGGGAGGGGGGGCAGTTTTTGTTTGCTCGTCTGTCTGTTGTTGTTGCCTTTTTTTTGGCTGTTTTATTATTTATTTATTTTTTGCTTTTATTTTGTGTGTGTTGTTGGTTGGTTTTTTGTTTGTTGTTGGTTTTTTGTGGGGGGGGGTATTGTTAACTTAAACTGCCTTTTAAGAAATGGTGTACTTAAGTTCTTCAAGAAGATGAAAAGCATTTTCTCTTTGAGGATTTATTTACTTGTTGGTTTGTTTTGTCGTGGGTGTTCTGAAGAAAGCTTGTTTTTCTTAAATGAAATATATGATGTTATTGTGCGTCACTGTCTGTTTCAGAAATATTGTGATCGAAAAATATCAAAGCATGGCTCACCGGTCTTTCATCTCTGAGCTGATCATAGACCACAGCTCGCTGCACGACACAGGGGACTACATCTGTAGAAGCAGTCGGAACGACATCGCCAACCTCAAAGTCACTGTATTACACGGTATGTCTCTGTTTTTGTCTGTCTCCTTCTCTGTCTCTGCCTCTCTGACTCTGTCTGTCTCTGAATCATCGCTAACCTCAAAGTCACTGTATTACACGGTAGGTCTCTGTTTGGGTCTTTCTGTCTCTATCTCTGTCTCTATCTTTGTCTCTATCTCTGTCTCTATCTCTGTCTCTATCTGTCTCTGTCAGTCTCTGTATCTGTCTCTGTCTCTCTATCTCTGTCTGTCTCTGTCTCTGCCTCTCTGTCTCTGCCTCTCTGTCTTTGTCTCTGCCTCTCTTTCTCTCTCTCTTTCTCTCTCTCTCTCTCTCTCCACCTCTCTCTCTCCGTCTGTCTGTCTCTGACTCTCTCTCTTCTCTCTCTCTCTCTCTCTCTCTCTCTCTCTCTCTCTCTCTCTCTCTCTCTCTCTCTCTTGTAGCTAAAGAGTTAAGAAAACTTTATTAATAACAAGAGGGCGGACTACAGGCTTTGGATTTATGACGAAAGCAACTCTTTTTACTCCACGATAATGATAACATGTTAAGCTCTTTGACTAGGTTCAGGATAATGATAACATGTTAAGCTCTTTGACTAGGTTCAGTCAACTTGTGTTATGTTTTAATTTTTATTTAGAAGAGAGAAAATCACTACATCATTAGTTCAGCTGTGGCACATAAATAAAATCTAAGCAAAGGCAGACGGTGCTTGATATTTTCTCTCTTACATGGTGTCTGGGTTAACTAAAATATAACATTTTATGTATTCTTGGTATTGAAGAGAACATTATATTAAAGTGATATGAAGGGTTTTTTGTAATGAAACCAGCTCTTTTTATATTAGGATTATGATAACATGACTAGGATCCAACAACCTGTGTTATGTTTTAATGTTTTAGTTAGAAGATAAAAAAGAACATAGCTCTATTATTTCGCTTTTACCCTAAGTTCAGGTATGACACAAAACTATAATCTAAGCGAAAGCAAAGGACTGTACTTGATATTTTCTCTAATTCGTGGTGTCTGGGCTAAAATATTACGTTTTATGTACTCTAGGTAGATTATTGAAAAGAAGGTGGCAAAGTGATATAAAAGTTTTTATACTGACATTCGGGTTTTTTGTTGGGGGGGGGGGTTGGTTGGGGTTGTTGTTGGGGTTTGTTTTTTTTGTGGGTTTTTTTTTTTGGGGGGGGGGTTGTGTGTGTGTTTTTGTTTTGTTTTTTGGGGTTTTTTTGTTTCCCTTTGACATTACATCAGATTGAGTCGATTGTAGGTGTTATCATGAGCTACGTGTTACAGTTGTTTTTGTTAAGCTTTAGTTTTTCCCAATGGTTTATTTTTACTTAGGTAATACCAAACCTTAGACGTTCAATTTTCTACAAGACAGAGAGTTCTGTACTGTAAAGCTTTATTTGTTTGTTCTTGTCGCTTCTTTTGCTGTTAATGCCTCTGTCTTTAGTTCGCAAAAGGGTTGTTAGATTGAATGCTACTTCCAATAGCTTCCTGTAAGTAAGTAAGTTTATTTAGTGTTTAAGGCCATTGGCCCACATCACATCATACAAAACACTCATTTGATAAATAGAGTTTCCATTAATAATAAATAAATACAGGCTGTGCACATATCTCTCATCATGAGTCAAACATTGCATATTTCTGTCACTGGGCAGAGTCAGGCAATAGCTTCCTGTGTACTCCATTGAGAACAACCCACATCGATTTCAAAAACGACCCGATTTGCATGGTCTCTTTCTTGTAGACTCTCATCCTGAAATATCCGCCATTTCAGTAAAACAGTCCAAATTTCGAGCTTAAGTGAATTCTTCCTACTCTTACACCGATTTACTGGTTTAGTGCTTTTCTCTGGTCTTCTGGTGTTCTCCCATTTCCATAGACATTATCTATCTAGATCAACGTCCTCGCGTACCGGAAGCAAAGCCGTCTCTCGGGGCAGTCATGTAACCTAGATACTCTCAGCATGTAATTTTAGCCATACTTTTCCTTTGTCCTGACGACCTGTAGGGCTTGGGGGAAAAAATCCCCTTAACCAAACCCCATCTTTAATAAAATAAAAGGAGTGGCGAACCATACTGGAATTATCCAACAACGTTGGAAAGGTTTTGATTTCAGGCCATGTTTCTGGAAATACTTTTGACAAGTTTTACCCACAAGACATAGTGGTTACCTCTGGTTATGTGCTCCCTGACACTGTATTTTAAAATAGTCACTAGTGTGTACCCGAAGAAATCTCTCCACAGGCGCGCACATTGAAGATAATATTCTCAGAAAGGCGTAACATCGAAAATTCAGGGGGTCTGTGTACGGTACTTCAGAAATGGTCAGGAGATAAGCATTAAACTACAAACGGTTGGAAAAAGCAACTACAAAAAGCTATGAAACGGAACGTGGTAATGAAATGTAAGCGCACCATAACAAATAAATGTTGACACAAATATTTGTCTCTCCTTTGGAGCATATCAAGGAAATCAAGATCTGAAGGGAGGAAGTATATCTTAGGCAATCTACATGTAGTTCCTCTATGTCTACCACAAAGCAAAGCTATAATGCTTTGACATCGTTTGTCAAAACACTAAAAGTCATCAAAAAATGATTTTCCAAGTCTTTAGATTCCATCTCTCATTTTGTGCACTTCAACTCTGTTTTGGGAAGGAAAATGGTGCTCCGGCAGTTTTGGAAAAAAAAAATGTTTTAAGGCAGTTGCTGATATTGATTACCGTTTTTGCCCCCCTCCCCCCTTTCCCCACCCCCACCCCCATGCACAATGAACATAAAAGAAATCGCGTGTTATCTTATATTCTCCTCTTTCTCCCGAAGAGGGTCGTTGATCTTTTCTCCCCGTGTCTGCGGCAACCTTCATCCCCCCCCCCTCTCATGTTCACATGCATCTTGGTTTGCCTCATTATTGTCCAGACATCGGGTGGCCCCACGTGACCAAAGTGTTACTTAAATGCAGATGGCGCTGTATACCACCCACGTCTGCTGGGAAATAGACAATCCATAATGTATTACCCGGTATGATTTATTCTTTATAGCTCCCCACGATGGCAGAAATTATTATCTGAATGTCTGAACAGCCTCGGACAATAGACCAATGGGACACTGAATATTAAACATGTTCAGGTGGCGTGGCGAGAGATTCAGATCTAGAACGTTCATAAAAGAAATATCGTCGCGGCTTTGCTTTGATTAGCGTCGTTATTATATAACTGTGTGCGCAATAGTAGAGCTTTCGGGTTGAGTCCGTTATGAAGACAGTCCTTTTGTTGTTGTCTCTGTAAATCTGTAATGCAATCTCTGTTCCTTTTATTGTGCTACAACGACTTCCTTTTCGCCTGAGATAAAGAGTAGATTTTTTTTTGTATTTTGTTGTTTTTGGGGGTTTGTTTTGGATTTATTTTTTTTTGGGGGGGGATGTTCTTGGATTGGGTTTTTTTTTTAGATTTGCATTTCTGTTGTTTGTTTTTTGTTGGGGTTTTTTTTTTTTGGGGGGGGGGGCGATGCTTGGTTTGCAAGTGATGGTCGTGGAAGCGATGTCAGTTATGTATTGGGGGTGTGGGGGAGGGGGGAGGGGGTGTTATACATGTTCTGATCCCATTTTTTATAAAGTAAAAGAATCTGCACACCGCAATTCTGAACAGCAGCTTCATAAACATAAGGCCGCCTGTCCTCTTCTCAGTGCGATGTTATTTTAATCTACTAATGCTAATAGAACTATATACAATAAGTCTCTAATTGTTTGCAAATTCATGATTATGGTGGCATTGCTTTTTTTAACTGCTTTACGAGGTTTTTATTTAATTGTTAATCTTAAAACTTACTGATCGTTTTGATGAACTCAACTGGCGTCTGTGATATAATATAGCAGTTAGGGGCTTCGCACACAGGAGACGTGAGTTCGATTCCTGTCTATGAAGAGTTGTTATCGAGAACCCCTAACTTTCTGCTGGGAAGGTGTATCCCTTTCACCGTGGGGTGGTCTTGATAGGAAAGGTTAAAGCAGCCCGTCTCCTATAAGATTTAAATAGTATCGATTTGGTCTTAAAACTTCTACTTTTTTTACTGGTTGACCTAATTTTTTTTATAATTTTAGCAGAGATTTTACAGCGCTCCCAGCTGCATAAGGTCATATGAGCGCCAGAAGATTAGAGGTGTTGCAAGAGAGTAACAAACATAAAAAAGGCGAGATAAGGACGATAGGTGTTGGATAGGAAAGAAGAAGCAGAAGCAAACCACACCAGAGCACCTGCCAACCACCCACGTTGACCTAATAACTTTTATTTACATTCCACAGCTGGAAGGGACAACTACAGGAGAGGTATGTGTCATGTAAACGTCCAAGTGTACGCTGTCCCTTATATAAGACCTCTTTGTCTATCTGTCCTTTATACTAACTTCTTTGTCTATCTATCTGCCCTTTTAGACGTCTGTCAATCTACTGCGTTTGTCAGTCTCTTTAATAACCAACCTTGTGCATTTATGTCTGTAACCATGTCTACTCTCTCTCTCTGTCTCTCTCTTTCTCTCTCTCTCTCTCTCTCTCTCTCTCTCTCTCTCTCTCTCTCTTTCTCTCTCTCTCTCTCTCTCTTTATAGTTTTGTTAGTGTTGTTGTTATTGTTGTTGTTATTGTTGTTGTTTGTTGTTGTTTACTTTCCTGTCTATCTGGATATCCCCCAGTATCTTTATCCATCCTGTTGTATCCATCTGTTATCCGTCCCCTCTACCCCTGGCCAAATATATAGTACATATAATTTTCTTAATTTTTCTTTTTGTGTCTTTTTCTTTTCCATCTATTTGGGGTAGTTGGGTAAACATTCCAGAAACAATCAGTTGTGAAGGGGAAAAAATTTTAAGAGCGAAATCAAGACTGGATGGCCCCCTCTCATAATATAGTTCAAACATATGTTACTCACCATGCAAAAACATGTGTGAACCATAGGAAACGTACCGAATATTCTTTTTCTTTGATTTTACTCGTTTATCATAAATCAAAATACCTGTATAAAGATGGGGGAAATGAAATAGGAGAAATAGCAAGTAATCCACTTAACAAAAGGTATAACATATATAGAGTTATGTAAAATGTATTCTCTGTTGTATTAATCTTTTATTTTGGGTCTTTTTTTATTAGATCTGTTCGATTTTTTTTCCTCCTAAACAAGAATGCCAACTACCATCAAGCTATAACTGTGTTCCAGAGCGGCATAATTATCATTGGAAAAACTAGTTAGGTTGAGGATGGAGATGGCACGGAGTGGGGGGGGGTGGGGGGAGGGGTGAGTAGTTGCCCAAAACAGAAGAGACTGGATGTGTCCATAATTTAGTGTCTAGTCCATTCCCAATTGTGTCCGAAATAAGTTGATGAAGAGCTTTGAAAAACCCCTATACAATCCAAGTTGAAAAATATATCATTGGGGGTTTGAACCAATGTCAGCCTCACCATAACCCAACAAGATACTAAGTTACACCTTGTATTCTTTATAATATTATTATTACTGTACATTAAAAACTAACATATCCTTCTTTAGCACTAATTAACCTTTGTGTGGCAGACTACAATTCTTAAATGATATCCCTCCTTTTGGAGTCGAAAGCGCTCGTAGTACTAAAAATAATATTTAATAGTGAGAGGGGGAAAGACTTCTGGTCTGTTCCCGTGGCCTCTGATAGATGACAACAAATCTCCTCCACTCCTCTCGGCTCTCTGCTTTCCTCAGTGTGTCCCGCAGCTCCATGGCTGTCCATTCTCGGGTGTTATCCTTCCATCTCTTCTTCTATCTGCTTCTCCTTCTTCCTCCCAGCACAGTGCCTTTTCCTTCTTATTAAAAAAATCCATCTTGTCTGCAGGTACAGCGGAAGCTGGCAGCCAGGGCGGAGGGACTGACCCCGCTGGACTCTCGTCCTACAAGTGTAGAATACTCCTGCTGGAGATATGTCTGGCAGCCATGTTGACTTTGAACTTCTCGTTTTTTGGCCTATATTCCTGACCGGTTTGGACTGAGCATTGCTAGTGCAGTTGTACGGGCATCAGCTATTTCATTCTTGTTGGAACGGTTTCGGGAAGTCCTTTTTGGTGATGAGGTTCGTAATACAATCCCAGTGTATTTGTAAGTGTAATGCGGTGGCATTTCTTTTATACTATTATTTAAATGACACTACATACGGCAAAGACTTTGGAGAAGAGAGACCTCCATTTAAAGAAATGTCTCCAGTGGTCCATTTTAACGCTCGTGTGGTATCCTATACAGATTTTCACTGGCTGTGTATAGTTTGGTGTACATAATGATATGTGTTCGTGATTGGAGCCAAATTATTTCATTTATTTTATTAAATAAAGTGCAATGTACGATATCTGTTCTTGGACTCTCGGGTACATTGTATTTTCAATTATCATTCTTTGTTTTTTAAATGTGGATGAATTCACTGTGAAATGTAGGAATTTGTACTCTAGTTGAGCAGTCTCGACAGGAGTCTCTCCAAAGTGATGTTTGAAAGTGAGCTGATGATCGGCTGTGCTGTACATTCTCTTATGAAGGATGTCTTCAGAGGAGCTTGGGTTGTGTGTTTCTTGTCTCCCGCTGAACCTCTGGTAAAGGAGTGATCTATAATAGTTTCTTCTGAGCGTCATCCGACACAGTGACTTTAGAAAGTTCATAGATTCTGAAGGGTACAGATTCTGGCAATCAAACGGAGCAGTGTGTTGAACAGAGTGAGTCGCGCAGATATGACGTTAGAGATGTGATTGAAATCAGTTTCTCTTGCCGAAAACATTCAAAACGGGTAGCCTCATGAGGACTTCTCGCTCAAACTCTCTGCAACAGCTGACCTGTAAACGTGTTGCTATTGGATACGGGCACATTGTCCTGAGATGAGTTCCGATGACTGAAGAAAGCGTACACACCGCGTTCAGTCAAAATGATGTTGTTTCTGTTCACATAGTGTTAAGCTACCCCGTGTCGAATCAGTTTCTTCTGAAGCTGGAAGCTGAAGAACTAACTCATGAAAACGTTTGTAGCTTGAGTTGTAACAAATCCTGACGCTATCATAGAATCATACACGTCAAATGCCATGGACTCCAGCAAAATAAGATAATCAACCAGTGATTTGAGCTCGTGTCAACATTCAAGGTGACAGACAACTGTGGCAAACCGCGGCCTATTCTCTGCGTCAGTGTGAACAAGGGGACTTTGGACTTGCCTTACCTCATCAAGAGTGTGGAGACACTCACTGATATATATGTATATATATATATATATATATATATATATATATATATGTGTGTATATACCTATATATATATTTATATATATGCGTATGTATATACTATATCATCGTCTTCATTCATATATAGTTCACTTCTACGTTAAAAAGTTTGTACTCTTGTGAAAATGTGAGCGAAGAAGATTCCATTCTAATACATGTAGATCTACGTGTATGCTATTATTTCATGTTTTGATAAGTGTCTAAACAGATTGTATGTCATTATTGATTGTTTGAGCTTTGGTTTCTTTTGTTGGTTTAAGAGGGAGGAGGTGTGCTTCTCGACCTAACAAAATGATAGTGTACGTGTACATATAATTTATTCCTCTTTTTTTGTCTTAATTTTTATTTTAATTCACTATTTGGACTTGAGAAAGGCATTTTTTGACAGAAAAAAACATGTTTATCAGGGGACACAGTCTAGGTGTCACACATCAAAGTCACAAGAACTGCTCGATTTGTCGTTCATGCGATGAACAAATCGTTCAATGTGTTTCGCTCACTTGAAACGTTTTTATATGCCCGATAATAATCATTATTTGCTGTTTTATACTGGGTTTTTGGTGATTAGGTCATTGTTTACTTGTGAGTTGTTTGCCCACAGAAGAGATTAGACATCGCGCAGGAAGAGATTCGTGCTCAACCGCAAGCTCCCACGATAAAATAATGTCGAACTGTATAAACCCCTTGACAAGCGCTATGTTACATTTCTCAAATATCTCGGCATAAATTCACCAAAACTTCTAATCGTACATCACATTTCATGGTCGCACATAACAATACACCAAGCTACTTCAAAATATTACTACCTCGTTTTCGAGTACAAGTTACAATTCATTATAACACATTATAAACATTTTCATTAAGAATAAACCCTGCCCTGGTTCGGCTTTGTCGTAGAATCTGAACTTTAAATTATCGCAAATCATGCGTGGGGAGAGTGCTGTATAAGCATTATGAGATATTTTTGGATGCTTTCTTAACCCTATTATCGTATCCATACAGCGTGGGGGGAACTCTGTGGGGAACACCACTTTCCAAAGAGGAAATTTACTCGTTAATCCTATCCGTACGCTTTGCATAGGCAGTCTGTCAAAATGATTTTTTGAGAAATACTGAAAGTTTCAAAGAGATCTTCGTACAAGAAGTATTCTAAAATGTGAAGAATACAACCCCGGGGGTACAAAATTACCCCAGGGCGTACGGATAGGGTTAACAAACTGAATAACTGATTATGTCAGGAAGAGTCACAGAGAGCACATCGTCTTCTATATAGGGCAATCTAAATCATTCTTGTCTCTGCCTCATTAAGTGACAAAACCCGTGAGCATCATGTAAATCAGCTGCGTTCTGTCCCTACTTCTGGGTCTCTCTTACTTTTTTATTATTTTACAGAAGTGTTTCTGACTGAAGTAAGGTCAGTTCTGGGAACATTAATTTCTTTTGTTTGTGCCTTTTTCGCTCGCACTTATTAAATTTTCTCAACTTTTTCGTAATAATAATATTATTATACGTATTAATACGTTACACGTATTATAAGTGATTCATTCGTTTTGTATCGAGGGGTTTGTTGTGCGATATAGCAGGCTTCACGCCACGAATTATGAAAGTCATAATCTTTGTCAGTTATTGTAGATCAGCATAGGAATAGAGTTTAATGCACAACTACTCTTCACGCATTATTGTGAAGTTCTCGCTAAAATTTAGAATTCAGGGAACGCAAGATCATCGTCACGGCCCGTACCAAGAGGAATGCACACGAACTGGCTGGTCTTACTAGAAACCAACACATCTATAATATGAAGAATACTTTTCTTAACGTACGCACAGAATGCGTTAAACTTGAGCAGGGTGTAATATACAACGTATTTAAAATATTTCTGAACAATAATAATATAAGTTCGAAGGATGATTTCAGCTGAAAAAGTTAAGTTTAAACGATTGCGAGGCTTATTAAGATGTGGGGGAAAGCAATTTTTTTTTTTTGGTTTTGTTTTTTGTATCATAATCAACAATCACTTTAAAACAATGTTAAATATATTATTGTATTTGTGTCGCCACAAATTGGATGTGATGAAATCAATGGACATTTATGTTCTACAATTGCGAGGGTGTCCGGTGCCTACGACAATGTATTTGTGTTGTCATAAACAGCCTTTGTCTGGTAAATTTGGTAACTATACACAATTGGAATAGGATGTATGAGGTGAGAACTCGTGGTCTGTTACGCAGATCTGAGCAAGGAAATATAATGATGGGTGGGTTGAATTTCCTGGCAACTACAATGAAACTCGGGATTATCATTCTGTTTTGTTTTCTATTTTTTTAATACTCTCGCTAGTTTCTAGATATTGAATAAAAGTGAAGACAAGCCATGCGTATGTGTATATATGTGTGTGCGTGTGGGGGGGGATGTGTGTGTGTGTGT